ATTAAATAATTAAATTAATAATAAAAAATTAAGTGTATAAAAAATATATTAATATAATTTTATTATTTTATTTTTAAATTTTATGTCGTTTAGTTTTGGTTGGTCTTATTTCTGTTTAAAGACTTAATTATTCTTTAATTTGTTTAAATATTGCAAATATGATAATTTATTATTAAATAAATTTATTATTTAAAAAGTGTAATCGTGTATAAATATTTTTAATTTTTAATAGAATATAATTTTTGTTTATTATAATTATAAAAAAATTATAACATAATATATTAATTTAATAAAAATAGAATTAAGAATATAAAAAATATATTATTAAATAAATTTATTACTTAAATATATTTTGACAGCTTTATTTTTAAATTATGATATATATATATATATATATATACAGACCGGTCTATTAGGCTTAATAAACAGCTCAAACCCGAAACCCTAAACTTAAACTAGTCTTAGAGAAAGCCTAAGTCTTGTTTGTTTATTAAAAATGTCAAGCCAGCGCCTCTTTCCATTCCTACTTAGGATAAAGAGCAACACCAACACCGGATATTTTAAGTAAATGTGCTTTCACTCTTGAGTATGAACTTTTGACCACTTTGTCACAAAAATTACAACTCCATAGCTTGTTGCCCCCTCCATCTCCTAGCTTATCTTTTATAGTGACAAATGTCCAAAGTGAAGCATGATTATCTTAAGTTCTAATGAATCAAAGTTACTTGAAATTCTAAAATTAGAGTCAAAATCAAAACTTATTTTTTGTCATCAAACACAGTTGTTGAAAATACAAAAATAATATTTTTACTTAATTGCTGTAAAATTAATAGAAAAGAAGAAATTTGTGAGATTTTATCACTACATAGATGATAACATGCGATTAATTAAATATGCAGTGGTAAAAACATCATTAGCTTAAAAAGGTTTAGGAACTTTCATTTTAAACATTAAAGCACGAGCTACCTCCATAAGATAATGATTTTTACGTTCAGCTACTCCATTTTGTTGTAGGATAACAATACAAGAGGATTGATGAAGTATGCTATGGTTATTAATAAAATTAATGAAAAATACAGAAAAATATTCTTTAGCATTATCACTTCTAAGAATACGCACACAAGTATTAGATTGAATTTTAGTTTTAGCACATAAATTACAAAGTAAAAAAGACTTTAGATTTGAATTTCATAAACAATAGCCATGTTACACGAAAATAATCATTTACAAAGGTAATAAAATATTTAAAACTAGATTTAGAAGTAACTGTACAAGGGCACGAAACATTAGAATGAAAAATTTCAAAGGGGGCATGAACCCTTTTATTTAAATAAGGTTAATAAACATTACGATGATGTTTAGCAAACTGACATGACTCACAATAAAAATGAGATTATATACTAGGACATAATTTTCTAAGAACTCCTAAAGACAAATGACCCAGACGACAATGAAGTTGGAAATGAGACACTTTTTCATTCCTAGAAGCAATAGAAGTTGGCGGAAGTTTTTCTTCTTTCAATAGATACAACCTATTAGATATCCTACCTCTACCAATAATCTTTTGTGTCACCAGATCTTGAAAAGCACAAGAATCAAAAAAGAATATTACTGAACAATTTAATGATAAAGTAATTTGGCTAATGGAAAAGAATGAGAATTGGGTAGACAAAAAGAGAAAAGGATACCTGAATCCCTAGTCATATGATCAGTAGTGCCAAAATCAATGACCCAATGCCTGGAAGAAGAGGAAAGACATGCAATAAGATTACTTTTTTGGACAAAAGTGGCTGTAGAGGATGTAGATGACTGTTGGAAAATCTGAGACTGAGTATGATGAATAAATTTCTCATCACTCATATGCATAGTACGTCCTTCTTTCTCTTGACTAGCTGTATTAGGCTGAGACACCGAGTTAGCAAAGCGGGAATTATCTTGTGAGTGAAAAAATGACTGATTTTGTGGAGGATGAATGTACTGATTCCGATAATGGCCAAATTCGCCATAGTTGTAGCACTGTACAATACCACGACCTTTACTACGCCTACGGCCACGACTACCTCTACCACCTCTATCACCACTGTGACCACCACGGTGATTGTATTGGGCTGCCAAGGCAGAATGGTCAGGAGACTCATTTTTTGTAGTGCTTTTGAGTTCCTCAAAGGAAGACTGTATAACTTTGGAAAAGATATTGGCAAGATTATCAACCTGCTTGATAAAATCTAAGACCGAACTACCTCATATTTCGGATCAAGTCTAGAAAGCTAACTCAAAGCCATGAGTTTCTTTTGTTGTACTATCATCTTGTCAATGGTTTTGCAAGCTAAAAGGATTATATCTCCTCAGTATGTTTCTTAAACTCTAAAAAATAGTCCATTAGCTTTCGCTTATTTTGTTTGGGTCGATAAATTTCCTGCAAGAGAGCATACAGAAAAATAATTGCAAGAAATCCCACAACTCCTTCACGGTTTTGCAATGGGTAATAATCGCTTGTATTTGTCTATCAACAGAGTTTACTAGCAGCACAAGGATCTTTTTGTCGTGTATTGTCCATGTGTCAATATCCTTAGGATTGACAGGTGCTGTTTCAGTCAAATGATTATCCTTTCCCTTTCCACTCAGGTTAATCTCAACCAAATACTTTCACTCCATATAGTTCGTACAGTCTCCATCCAGCTTAACATCGGTAAGTTTGGATAGAGATACAATCTCCGTAATAGCTCCCTTGTGCTGCGCATCCTGGCTATCATGTTTAGACATTTTATATCCACAAATAGTGATGGAACTGTCTGGGTTTTGTCTCAATGGCTAGAAAGAAACGCCGCATTCAAACTGTAAACATCGAATTACTGCATATTTTGGACATTGGAAAAAGTTTTTTATCCCCACAACAGCCATGGTCGGTCTTTTTTGAAGCTGCTGTTTTTTTGTTTTTTGTGGTGGCGGCGACGGTAGCGGTAGTGTGCGACTAAGGAGGAACCCTAGAAGGCTCTCTGATACCACTGTTGGGTTGAGTTTTTTTTAGGTAAGGAGCCTTACAATGAGTAAGACACAACAATACAACCCCAAAACCTTAAGGCTATGAGTACATGGGTCCAACACTCCCTCTCAAGTGTGAACCTATTTATTCATATCGGCTCCCTCCACAGGGAAAGTTTTTCTTCATCATGAGTATTCATAGTCTACACCACGTGGGCTGTCGTCCACTTAACGACACTTTTTGGGCTCTAAACCCTCCACACATGGATCATTTAGTGTCATCGTTTCCTTTACGGTGCACTTTTTACATTGACCATAAGTCCATACCGTCGACTCACTCGATCGCGGTTCAACTACTCATCTGAGCAAGTCACCTAAATTGACTAAGACCATTGTTGAATTAAGAGAGAGAGAGAGCATAGAGAGCGACAGATTAGTGTGCTGGAATTGGATGCTCTACAATGTGTAAGACTCATATTTATAAGGATACATATATAACTTTACTGAACTCACGGTTCATCTACTCATCTGAGCTGGTCATCTAAATCGACTAAGCTCTAGTACCATTGTTGAATTAAGAGAGAGAGAGTATAGAGAGAGACAAATTAGTGTGCTGGAATTGGATGCTCTACAATGTGTAAAGACCTTATATTTATAAGGATACATATGTAACCCTATTGGGCCAAGCCCGTTATTATAATATTAACATAAACCCTAATCCTAATAAGTCTATTATAGCTATTCATAACACAGGGCAAGTAGTATGTTGCGAAAATGGTACAAAGAGAGGTTGAAATCTTTTCTGATTGATCATGAGCCTTACTGGTTTCTCCTTTAAATTTAAAATCAGGAAGAGATTACATATTGCTTTCATTGTGCTTTATTTATTAGTGGCGTAATGTTGTTGCAATAGTTTGCTTTGAAGGGCAATGAGGGGCTTGGCATAAAATTTGCACCAATGTATGTTGCATCCTTTGTGAACAATATGAGCAATGTGAATAAGCACACTTTAGAAAACCTAAGGTAAATAAACTGTCTCTCCTCTGACACTTTAGAAACCTTTATACCAGCAACCTCTGGCCTAGACCTGGAGCCCGTGAAACATCCACTTAGCACTGACAAGTCCTATTGATTACTGTTTCTCATCTTCTATTTGTCTTCTTCCCTTCGCTGTTATCTCATTCCTTTGAATGGTAAGGCTGGCAATCATTGTCTACACTAGTTAAGTGACTCCTCTGACTGTAGCTTTTTTGACTGGTGGCAGTTAGCCCCTAGTGGCCTGAAATTCTGGCCCACATCAAGAAAATGCAGTGTTTTAACTTGAGCCTTGACTGGTGTTTTTGAGGATATTTTGAATTAAGGAGAGTTGAGACATTAACACTGCTATATTTTAGGTGTGAATGAGATTTTCATGTGTTTTATTTATATAATATTTTTAGTGTAGGTTAAATTAATATATCTATTGTGTGTTTGGATTGAGTTTAATTTGAGAGAAAAAACTTTTTCCAGAGCAAAACCTGTATTTTAAAATGTTGACATGTTTGCTAAAATAATCGATGTTGTCCAGCACATTGTAACGCACAATTAGTGACAAAATCATGAACCCTTGTTGCTAGTGTGCACTGTGCACCCTGAAATAACTATGATTGTATAAGAACAAACACCAACCAAGTTTTATCTCATTAGGTGATGTTGGCTACATAGGTCACATGATGCTATATAGTTCAACAAAAAGCCAAAATTTTTTTTTAGAAATATGGTTGTATGAGAAGAGAAAAATAAAAGGACCAATAGAAGTCAGACATAAGGGGGAAATTGGAAGTTCTAGTTTCATTGAACTGAAGTTATGATCATGGAGCTACTTCTAGAATACATTTTGTTTCTTATGTGGAAGTTCATTTTGTGGATTTGTGTTTCACATTTTCTCTATGAGGTTGGATCATTGAGTTATTGACTTTTATTAATAATATTATAATTTAAGCTTGCATTCCTTTGTTGAACTTTGGATCTACTGTCAGGAGCTTATCAAATACCTGAAGTTCACTTGTCCTGCTCATCTTTATGCAACTTCAATTTCACCACCGGCTGCACAGCAAATAATATCATCCATAAAAGTTATTCTGGGAGCGGATGGTTCCAATAGAGGTTTGGCTAGCACTTGTACTTTTCTTTGGCTTTCTCTTGCACCAATCATAAATGCATCCGATGCATATACTTTTCTTACTTTGCATTGAAGCAAAGTTGTTACCTTCTAGGTGCCAAGAAACTTGCACAAATTCGAGAAAACAGCAATTTTTTCAGGTTGGAACTGCAGAAGATGGGATTCGAGGTTCTTGGGGATAATGATTCTCCTGTAATGCCAATCATGCTTTACAACCCAGCCAAAATCCCTGCCTTCTCAAGGGAGTGTCTCAAGCAAAATGTGAGCCTGTCATAAACATTCAACTATATTTATACTTGTTAACTCGCTGTGTGTGTGTGTGTGAATGATCCTTTTTCAGATTGCTGTCGTGACGGTGGCATTTCCAGCGACACCACTATTACTTGCCAGAGCCCGTATATGCATATCTGCTTCTCATTCAAGGGAAGACCTTATCAAAGCCTTGGAGGTATATATTGACTTTCATTCAATATTAACGTCACAAAAAATACATCAATTAATTGATTCTGAATATCTCACCTTAGTGTAGTAGACTATTGGCTGCTTAGTTTTCTACTCCCATGTCACTGTGTGTCTGTACTTTGTCATAGCTATGAAAACAAAGCTTTTGTTAGACTGAGGTGACTCCCTTTGTATTAGATTTCAAGGATCAATGTGTTTTGTCATTTTACTTGCTGCAATATTTATCTTGCCAGATTTTGTTGGTGTTTGTTACTTACACCAGGTATATTCTGTGTTATGTTTTATTGGCATTGTTCTCCTTTCTTAGGTTATCAGCAGAGTTGGTGATCTCGTTGGTATAAAATACTTCCCTGCTGAATCATTGCAGCAGCAGGAAGAGGGAAAGACACTGAAGTTTGACTAAGAGAAGTTCTTGTCAAAAAGCATAAAGAAGAGCAAAAATTGATGATGATAATGGATTTATAAGAAGCATTTTTGTTTCAATTGTGGGTGGTAGGCTTCAGACTAACTGCCATGTGCATGTCTAGTAATCTTGTCGCTGTTTTTGTAAGTGTTAACTATACTTGGAGCTGCAGATATAATTATTTTTTGTCCAGAAACAGGTGAATATTTTGTCTCCTGTTAGAGGGAAGTCTATATAATCTTATATTTATCTGGTCGTATGATCATCTGTATAGATACGCCTGTAATTTTTTAGTAATTCATTGAAACCAAATCTTGGAATTTTTAATAAAATTGTAAAATTGAAGTTGAATATTTATTAGGGCGTAATGGGACTGTACCTGGAAGTGCATAGTCTGACTGGCTACTTGCTATTTTGCAAATTTTTATCCAATAGATTATCTTCCTGATTTTTATCATGGAATCACGTTTCTTCAAACTCTCACTTTCTCAGCATCCTAATGCTGTCTTGACTATTGGTTACATATACTTAAAGTCAGCCCTTTTGATCGAATCAACAACCATAAATGATGAAGGGAAGTAATGGTTGCACTCGTGTTTGGATTTGGATGGTTAGCTAAATTAAGAGGTTGCCTTGCCTATGTTAGAGGACTGAATCTACTCACTCTGCTCCTAACTGGATTACAACACGCGCACATACTAATTCCTTCAGAGAGAATTATTACACTGGGCTTCAACGAGGAACCAAACACTGTATTGTTAAAAAAACTGCTATTTTTCAATTGCAAGATGATTATTTATAAGTTTTTCCTGCATTCTTTAAGGACAATTCTTGCGTTACAACGTTTTTCAATTACACTTGTTCACTTAACCTACCATACAAATAACGGAATTATACTAATCTACTATAACGGTCTCTGTATGAATGAGCATATACAAATTGTAGTATACCATCACGCTAACAAATTGAAACTTGTTTTTTGCTAATCGGCAAATTCTGTTTATTATGAACAAGAGTTGAGTGTTTACACGTGTTAACTAAATGAATTCATTGTTCCTGCTTTGCTATCGTTATTTCAGTATTAGCTTGGATGGTGATATTTTCAGGTGAGTTGACGTACCTAGGATCCTTGTGCTTCTCTATATAGGCATTAGTTTCGTAAGTTTAGTTTCTAATCATAATATTGTTAGCTACTGGGTTTAATATCGTGTAATAGGAGTTGTTTGATGGGATTGGACATTTTTAGGTGGCTAAACCCTTCGATAATAGAGGGTTAGACACAATTTATGCTGATTAATGAGAGAGATCTTATTGACGCATGCTTATTTGCATTACTGAATGGTATATGTCATTTGGTCAAGTCGGAGTGATCCTGCCCGAGGTGAGGATAGTTGCTTGATCAGTTGCTCCTCAGCTTGGTGCTTTGGTTGAGCAACGGTGCAGGTACTTACTGTAGTCATTTATATGACACCAAATCAGTTACTCTCCAACTTAGTGCGGTAGTTAAGCAAAGGTACACTCGATCACATTTTGTAATGATCTTTAGATATTTTTCAACCCGAAGATGTATGCCATCTGAATTTGGATCCTTAATATCAAAAGGGCCTTATTATCATTTTTCTAATATTTTTTTAGATTTTTGAGCTGCAAAATTATTGATCAAAGTTCTATAATTAAGTAATTCTGACTTTCACTCTCAATAGATAGTATAACTAATCCTTTTAATCTATTTTATAATACTGTTGATTTGAGATAAGATTTAAGTACTTTTAATTTTAAAAGAATTCTTTAAGCAGTAGCAGCTTTTATAGTTATTGTAAATAATATTATATAAATAATAAATTTGGAAAAGAATCTATTTTAGAAAATATATTAAAACTGCAATTATATAGTAAAACAAAATATACCATTAAGAGCATCGACGAAACTTGATAATTAATAGCTTGCAAGTTGCAACAATCACATTTTTTAGTTGATTAATTTTACAAATTGCTATCATCAAATTAAGTAATATTAATGTTGTGCAACTTTTTTTTTCTAAGAATGGAAAAAAGGTACCAAACACTAGAAAGAGTTAAGGAAAAATTAATAGCTAAAGATAGAAAAATTAAATGAGGCTCTTTATCACTTTGTAAAACATTATTAATATATTAAAATATTGAATAGTCCAATCAGTTAAAAATGCAAGGTCTAAGGGAACAGTCTTATTTGAATAATGGATTACCCGATCCTGCTTTAAGGTGACGCGTTTGGATTGCTGAAAAGTTATGAAATTCAGTAAATGAAATAAAATGATATTAGGTTTTATTGTAATAAATTGTATAAAATAAGATGGGATTGAATAAAATTCAGTCAAATCTATTAATTCCATCAAATAGTCCTTTTATTTTCTTCCAATTTGAGAGGTAAGGGATGAAACCTGTCCTTTTGTTTTTATTCCTTCATAAAAACACTCAAATAGTAAAATTATAATTTTATTCCATTTCATTCCCTTATTCTACTCAACATTATATATATTTAAATAACTAAAAATTTAAGTTACTACTCTCTAAACTTGTATTAAGACACATCCTAAATCTTGGCTTGAAGCATTACAAAACACTTCAAAAGGTCTGCTGATGTCAAGAAGAATTAATATTGGAAAGGTCGTCAACCTCTGCTTCAACTCAATGAAGCTTCGCTCGCATTCCTCCATTCATATGAAGGGTTGGTCTCAACGAGTTAACCATGTCAAAGGTGAAGTAATCTTTACAAATATCTCCATAAATCGCCAGTGAAAACCAGCTAAGCCCACAAAATTAAGAATCTCTACAGTTGTCCTTAGTCTTTCCCATTGTAGCACTGACTCCACCTTGAAAGGGTCAATTGCAATTCCTCCGATAGAGATCATGTGGCCAAGGGAACATCACCTCGTCAAGCCAAAATTTACACTTAGATAATTTGGCATACAACTGTGTTTCCTTTGACATTCCCAGAATAATCCTTAAATGTTCCGCATGCTCCTCTGGTGAACTGGAATAGATGAGGATATCATCAATGAAGACCACTACAAACTGATCCAGAAATGGTCTAAAGACCAAAAACCCAGTTCATGTAGTCCATGAATACCACTAGGCATTGGTGACCCCAAAAGGCATCACCATATAATCATAATGGCCATACCGAGTGCGAAAGACTGTCTTTGGAATGCCCTCATCCTTGACTTGGATATGATGATACCCAAACTTAAGGTCAATCTTAGAGAACACTTTAGCAACTCTCAACTGATCCATTAAATCATCAATCTGCAGCAACATGTATTTATTTTTTATAGTTAACTTATTCAACTAGTGGTAGCCAACATAAAGTGTAGAACTTACGTCCTTCTTCTTCACCAAAAGAACTGATGTTCCCTAGGGTGACACACTCGGTCTAATCATCTTCTTTTGCATTAGATCCTTAATTTGATCGTTCAACTCCAACAACTCCCTTGGCGCCATTGGATAAGGTGATGTTGATACTCGTTCAGCTCCCAAAATCAAATCTATTCTAAACTCTACCTCTCTAGGTTGGGGGTATCCTAAGAATATCTTCTAGAAGGTCTTAGAGAATTCTTGCACTACTGGTATCAGCCGAAGGTCTTGCTCTTGTTCCACATCCATAACAACCAAAAGGATGAAATAGGAAGCTCCCTCGTTCAGAGGTGTTTCTACCTAGCATGTAGAAATTACTTCCACAGAGCCTTGTTCCTTAGGAAAGAGCAAGTGTCATTGGGCACAATTAATCAAGATATGATTAGTAGTCAACCAATCCATTCCTAAGATTGTATCTAAGCCCATCATAGGCATACTAATAAGATTTACCTTGTACCTTCGTCCCTCACCCATTATGGGACATCCGACACAAATAGTCAAAGTTATCACCGAACTCAAAGTGGGTGTTGACACTATCAAGTTACACCTCAAGTCACTCATAGGTAACCCTAGGTTCCTTATTCATGCATCCACAATGAAGGAGTGCGTGGCTCTAAAATCAAAGAGTATGGAAAGAGAAGTACTTGCCACTACCTCTTTCCCATGATCAGGGTCCGCTACTTGAGCCACCTCTGCTTCAAAAGTAGTACAGAGACACGCCTTTGGTCTAGGTCTCGCCTGCTTTGGGTCATACTGCATGTAAGGTACTGGTCGTAGATGATGCTGCTCTATGCTGTGAAAAAGGACAATCTTTAACAAGGTGTCTCGACTGCCAACAAGAAAAACAAACACTGTTGTTGACATGAGAGCACTGGCTCAGATAGTGCGATCCTCCACATCTGAAACACCTAACTGTCGAAGGCACTAGGACTCTAAAAACCGATGTACTTGCCTTTCTAGGTTAGAGGGTGTACGTGGTAGTCCTTACTGGCCTAGGGGTTGATGATGTCGCTCCCACAAATTGGGAAGGTTGCGACTACTGCTGACGATATGGCCTTCTATAAGGGTTCTTCCTAGTGTCCCTACTTCCCTTATGGCCATGGTATACCAATTAGATTGCGCCTTTCCCACTCCACCAACATTCCCTGTCAAGACTTACTGCTTGAGCTGTAGCGACTGTTTGATTTGCAGCTTGTTACTGTTGAACAATATCTAAGCTCTGCCTCATGGCTACTGCCATGACTTTCATAGCATGAGCCATCCGATTCACGTCAGGTGAAGAAGGGTTCGACACTGGTCTTCTTGGGATCTCGCCATCTTAACATGAAATATATCCAATTTAGAACACTCATAGACAACCCTATCTTAGAATTGATTATTCATCTATACAAGTAATCTATTAAGCTCGACACACATAAATCAGTACACCCTGCCACACAGCAACACAACATTTCACATTGGTTCAACATACAACAATATATTAAAAATCAGACATTTCACACAATCTGATTCATTCATCACATCATCATATCAATGATGTTCATGAGTAATATGAATGACAACCACAACTCTTTTAGTAATCCTTCACAGCTCAACTTAACAATATATCACCCACACAACATGACTCACCTATAGCTCACCCAAGCCTTATATGCCAAAACTCCCTACATTTGTTATTTTAGAGAACTTAGGTGATCAAGCTCGTTCCCTCATAATCTGATGATTAGAGAATTATGATATGTGATTTACAACTAAGGCTCTATGCCTAGAGTACACAACTGAAGCCTAGCAACCTTAACTCCGTAGGTTTACCTAGACCATGCTCTAATACCACTAAATGTCACAACTCTTTTTTGGGAAGAATTTGTGACATACTGGCTAATTAATATTTGTATAAAATTTAAACATTTGAAAAAAAATTAAGTACTAAATTTAGGACCATCAATGAAAAATAA